TCGCACATGCGAAGGAGTCACCGGTGGTAATCAGTGCAAGTCGCGCCCAAGTCAAACCTCATACTTGTGATTTCCATTTGAAGAGCGCATTGGACTGTGGGAAAATCAATGTTTATCAACACAAATGTGGCACATGCGCAGCGCGACGACTACCGCGCTTTAAACAGACTACAGCTTAAACACCATCAGTACATTTTATATTATTTATTTTCAGGACCAAAAGTGTACATTATTGGCGGTATCTCGGCCACGGAGAAATTAATCTTGTCTTCGGTCGAGTGTTACGATACTCTGGAAGGAATATGGCTACACCCAGGTCCTACGGAACTACCAAAGCCAGCACTCGGACATAGCTGCTGTACGATGCCAAGGGAATTACTCAACTAAACTTCGCACGTGTACATTTATTGCCTCGGAATTATAAACAATATCATGTAAAACATCTTAATTAAAGATATGTGATAAAATTAAATTTTCAAAACGTGTTTTTGACGCATTATTGTTGTTGTCATGGTAGCCACATGGTTGAATGTCCTTAGAGCATTTTGCAACACTATAACCTCTAACTTCTTTGTTCCCCTAGTTGGGGCCACTGTATGACTGTATCCTTGTTCTGACATTGCACCACCACCGGTGCAATACGTAACCACAAAGTCATGATTTTTTTTAAAGGTCTTCATTCTCATTTTATAATTTTAGAAAAAACACGATTTTAATAAGCACCTGCAATAACCTAATATGTAAATATCTATGAACAATTGACACAAAGCCCGTGTAAACATTCTTACGACACAGTCATTCGACCGTAATTGGTCAGTACAAACTCCACGTGCGGGTGACCACGTGAGTCCAGAATGTTATTTGTTTCAACGTGAAAAGAAACATAAAAGAGAAAAAAAAAGGGGGGGAAATATTCAAATTCTCAGGTTCGTATGAACCTATTTTATTGTATTCGCCCCTGGTTGACGTGTTGTGAGCCGAATAATGTACTCGTGGTCGTGCGATGTAGTTCTCGTGTCGTTCAGTATCTGTACAGACTGCACTCCACTCACACAGTATCGTATATAATATATCTATACTGCGATACACGTATATCGGTCAGTATCCGATGGACGGGAAAATAAATGTTTATTTCCCTGTTGAAAATTAAAGCATATGCATGGGCGAGCAACCAATTTAAATAAAACAAACCAATTAAATAAAGTCGTTACTTGTTGTTTTTACGTCATATTATCAATATTGTTTTATTTAAATTGGTCGCTCATTGCTTTGACATGACGTTTGACGTCATATTGTAAATAAAACACGTATTACGTCATAAAACGTAAAAAGTTTACGTCAAGTATTTAGAAGATACGACTATGCAACTCTGATAGCTATATATATATGTGTACGGTGATATACGAGTACACAGTATCCGATGGACGGGCTTAGAAATCCTTGTACATCTCGAAGTACATCACACGATGTAAATGTCACGCAATGCGTAGAATTGAGAAGACCGCCTGGCGATGAACTTTCTCAGTTTATATACACCATAAATAAACACGTGGCATAAAGGTATTGTTATAAACGCAGCACAGGTAAATACGCCGATTGCAAGGCCGGGATTCACTCCCCAGTCTACAAGTGCGCGCAAATAGGAGTCCGTGGGGTTTATCCCCATAAACTTGTAACATATGAAGGAAAACAACGTGTAGATCAACACGAACACTACAGGATATATGACGTGCAACACACGTATTGGTGACGCAATTAGCCCAAGGTCCATGAAAATCAGCAGTACGTTGACACCGTGCATGTGAATATTAAAGACGTTTATGTTATCGGCGTCGATCGCCCAATAACATAGCGTCACTGCCAACCCGGAGTTGAAGGCTGTATTCTGCGACAACCAGACCAATTTCAGATACCATGGTAACATCATATCATTCACCTTGTCTTGACGGTCGACTGTTTTGTCGGAGCTAGACATTTCTGAGTCGGTTGCACCTATTTCTGTAAAGAATGAATGTGGGACAGAATTAATAATATTAAAGTAGGGGTGTCTTCACCTGCGCATGCGTCAGATTGGCCATAGCGTGTCATTGTTTACAAAGAAGCGTCTACCCATGAGCCTTTGCGTGTTTAGCGTGAGTTATTATCGTCACTTAGGACTCAATTCCCAGGTGACGACCCTCCTGCTTTAAATAAATAATTAACATAAAATTTAAATAAAATAAAATACGAAAAAATCGGAACTCATTGTTCCATAATTTTGACAGTGAGAAATTTACTTACTTCCTATACCGTTCACGTGGTACGCCACTGAACCAATCAGAGACAAAAGAAAGTAGAGTGTCAGCATAAGATATGACCAATGGGAGAGGCTCAGGAACCAAGTGGCGAAGGGGCGCTCTTCATGGAACTGTGGTACGTAGAAAATCACCGCAAGGATAGTCCATAATAACTGATATGAGAAGACGCCAAATCTGTATAGGAGATACGTCACCGGTAATCCAGACCACTGACACTAAAATTAAAAGCGAAAACAGACGGAGGATTTAGATCGTCGCGTATTCTCGCTATTGAAGACACGCGAGATCACCGTAGACCCTCCACCACTTTTTAAAATCATTCATACTTAATACGTGTTAATCTCAAATGCAACTCAAAACAAAAAATAATCAATAATCGGATTCCCAGACACTCTTATAAAGTATAACAAATGTAACCATGGGAATGCCAAGTTATTGAGACTTGTTTCTAAACTGATGGGGCCAAGGGTCAAACCATTCATTACGAGAAAACATCACGTGACTTTAACATAACATGCCAAGAACAATGTTAAAGTACATCATGTCAACCTTGAGTCGAATCAAACCTGTTTTTTTTATTTAAAGGTTGTGATACGAATTACTGTAAAATAGTAATACAGAACACATGGCACTTCCGGGTTTAGGATCGCCAAAATCGCCGGGAGAGGGACCCCTAACTGAACAAACGCACTATGGGCTACTAATATTATGCAACTTGTTTAGTGTAGATAATGAGTAGAACAAAAAATACCCGAGTGTACATGGTCTGGATGATTTGATTTATCACAGGTCAGCAAACGTTTCACCAACCACCTGCTTACCCGTAAATCGACCACCCGGCCTACTACTACTTGACTGATCTAAAGAAATTTTAGTTGCCGATATTGCCAATGAAAAACAATTAGAAAGTAACTACCCCCCTCCTGTGTTCTCGCATTTCTTGGCGATTATTCTACAGATAATACAATGACTACATGATACAGTAGTATGGTTTAAGGTTATAGACAGTTCTGAATGACGTTAGAATATTGATTAAAGCCACAAACAAGACGACACATGGCGTCGTTAACGTGAACTGAATAACTGTGTTATTTACACTTCTCTCAACAGAAACGATCAATCACAAATGAAGAATTGTTATTCGAAACAGCTGACTCATACACTAACACTTGTAGCCATGGTTTTTTGTCTCCGGGGCCATACAGTAATCTCTGCATGGCATAAAACCAGTCGTGTTATTATGTAACCCTGTCGCCTAGGGTACGAATTTATTGTTTTATAGATACAGTGATATAAACAACAACATGACGTAACATGCACGACATACATTCGTCAGCCTCGTGTTCAGAATACAATAGTGAAATTGAACGTGTCATCTACCATTTCTATGGTAACAATGTCTCATCCTATCCCAACATTTAGTCCGGTCGCCTACGGGAAACATCAGATATGTAGTTATAAGATGGATACATAAAATAATTATTAGAGAATTCTGATGAATACTGATTTTAATGAAAGAATATTTCAACATTGATTCCTATTTTGGCATTTGTTCAGTCAGTTTTTCTTAAAAAAATATTTTAAAAATAAATTGTGAATTTAAATTTGATATATAATACCGACATTCATTAATCATAATAAATATTAATATCAGAGCATATATATATATATATATATATATATATATATATATATATATATATATATATATATATATATATATATATATATATATATATATATATATTGGAAATGACAGTGGTAAACACCTCGTCTTTTTTGACGAACACCGCAGGTTTCCAAAACATAGATAATGATTTCGTTATATTCACTGTGCATACGGTCCGACCACCACTTCTGCAGTGGCGGTGGAGGGGGGGGGGGGCATTATGGATCTATGGCATAATAGTGTATTACGCGTCACAACTATTTGACTGCGCAAAGCCACACAAAGTCCTTGTGAAGAATTGTATTCTTTACAGTTTACACTA